TTTCACTACAAAACTGAGCACATTACAAACACTTACATGAAGATAAACAGTTTCTGATTAAATATTTTACGCGATTCGCTTCGTTTCTTTCATATTATATTTGCTTTTAATTATTTTCAATTTAATTCTATAAACCATAGATGGACTTTTTAACACGAGTTTAAAACGATTATCGCGACAATTAAGAGAAAGAATCATTTACACGTTATTTGAAATGTCTCATGGAACCTGTGAAATTGGGCTGCTGTGCGGTAATCATTCAATAACCATTTATTAACCTACTCGTTATATTTCGATATAAAATTATGTTATATTATACGTAACGTATACAATTATATGATTACTTCATTTACTTATCTTTATTTCTTCAAAACACTTAGCCTAAATAAATCTTTATTATTTAAAATAAAGTTTATAATATATTAAAAATTAAAAAAAATATATTAGTGTATAAGTGTATAGTTCCTTTCGTAAATCATAACTTCGTGAAATCGAAGGTTTGCAACCTTTGCAAGTCTATTAAAGTCGTTTAAATTTAAGTGTCTCAAGCGATGCATGTCTTATCTTACAAAAACTTCACTCCTATTATATCAAGCAAGTCTTTTTCTGCGTTGCGTGTTTATACTTAAGTAATCAACTTATATGGTATATCTTTATGAAATATGTATGGGTGTGTGAATACAGGTCACTGACATAAGTCCGTCAATATTTAATAATAGACGAATATAATTATAACAAAAATCCATACTAATATTATGAAAAGGTAAAGTTTTGTTGTTTTTGTGGGGTAATCTCTGGATATTGTGAACTGATTTAGAAAATTCCTTTCCCAATACAAAGCCACGTTATTAGAAAATGTTTTAACTTTTAAATATACTAATCCGAAAAATAAAAAGACTTTCTCGTAATGAATAGAATAAAAAAATCATGTCATTTAGTAACAATAAGCATTGATATTGATAGATAAAATTTCCTTTAGTATTATTATATTTATTATATATAATAATACAAAAGATAAATATAAAACTGAGATATTTTTAAAACATCTAAAAATACTAAAATTATAAATGAAATAAACATTGTTTTTAACTTCAATTGTGTCTCACAAGATAGTATTACAGAAAACTTTAATTCTCTCTGAGTGACGAAGTTTCTTTGTTGAAGATTCATTGTAAGTTCAGGATTAAAGTTTCTTACACTATCTGAATTACTTGTATAGTGGTTCAACTAGACATATTTATCATAATTTAAAATTACCTTTATATGACAAGTAAAACAGATAATTATTGCTCTGTAAAATTCGTGGCTTGGCAACTGTTTAAATAACGAATACCAACAAGTATACTTCAGTGTAACATATTTGTCGAATAAAACTATACGAAATTAATATGCGTAATTTTCCGTACGGCCAACAAACTAATGTTTAATACGCGAGAGCATATTGTATGGCTTTTCGTACAAATGGCACAGGATAAAAGCAAATCTTTGTTAACTAACAATGGAGAACGTTCTACTAAACACAAAGAAAATTACACGGCGAAATAAATATGCGCTTTTTTATGCGAGTTTCACATTTAAAATTCTATTTTATCATCATAATATATATAAACTCAAACTCAAAATATCTTTATTCATATAGGTAAACAAGTACACTTATGAACGTCAAAAAGATGGTAAATTAATTGTAAATTTACATTGACTACCAGTTCGCAAGTCAAGGGCGTAGAGCGGGAAAGAAGAACTGGCAAGGAAGTTTCCGCTACTCTTTTTAATCGCCAAGTATTGTATATTTGTATCTAATTGGAATTAATAAAATTTACTATAGTGCGTCTTATATAGCTGCCTCTATTGAGTTGCTTTTAGTCCGCCGCACTTATCAATAGACGCAGTAGCGTAATAATACATTGTTAAATACTGAATAAATCCTGAGGGAATAGAAGTCCGATATTCCTCAGGCTCTCAGCGGTACAACATGAAAATGGTATAATCCTTTATGACTGAAGCGTTGAATTCGTGAAACGTTCCGTAACGTTCCACATGAAAAATTCCTCTTGGATAACTAACAAATCCTTAAAATCAAAACTGCCGGGTATTGTCGTGACCCCGTTACGGAATATAAATCATTATGTCAATACGTGAAACCTCAGGAGGCTAAAATCGCGATAGGACATATTCTTCAATACCGGAATTGACGGTGCTTGTTGCGTCGAGAAATGTAGAAGACAGGACTTTTACAATTGGTTGACGGATAAGGAGACTTTATAATTGTAGAGGATTTCTATTACTTACTTAAACGACAAAATGAACAAACAAGTATCGGATTAAAACCTATTTCACGGGCCCAGGGCCTCGATAAATGTTGATACGTCACAGAGTAGTCGTATACCAATACTGCAGTGCAAGTGAATTCAAATTGTTGGCAATACGTGATGCACTTCCCTTGCAGTAGCTTAACTGCATGTGTTCAGAGATTATACCGTAATTATATCTTCATTTTCCAAGCATTGATACTGTCTCGTGCAGTTATAAACTATAGTTCAAGTATTAACCAAAGAATTAACCTTGTGTTTATTTTATAAATAATCGACTCTAGGCAAATGCTGTAAGGTTACATACAAATATTTAAAGTATATGACGATAGAACACGTTTAGCGAATATAGTAATTACTGGGCTTTAAAACGTACTATACGACTTATAATTATTTCATGGAATGTCCACCCCTGTCCCCTGCTGTGCACCAATGGACTTTCTTTCTATGGGCGCATTTAACATTCGCTCGAACGGTGAAGGAAAACATCATGAAACCGCCTTGCCTTAGACCAAAAAAGTCGACGGCGTGTGTCAGGCACTGGAGGCTAATCACCTACTTGCCTAGATTGACAAATGATAATGAAACAGATACTATATATTATATTTTCTATACGCCTTTTAAATATTTACCTATAACTATTTTAATGCTTTATGATAAAAATATACAATAAATTACTTCCATAAAATACGCAGACAAAAATTTCCCTAAAACTTATTCGGTAAAGATAAAACATTTGTAATTCAAATTTTCTTTTTGGATCCTTAATCAAATTCCACTTGAAACTGATGTTTAAAAAAAGGCTTCACTGGAAAGTTTCAACTTTGTAAAGAGAGCAAAACGTAGCTTCCTCGGCAAATGAATTTAATAGATTAGTTCTTGAGTGAATTTACGAAAATATTTACTTTTCAAACCATTGTTTTTGTTGAAACTTAACAATTATTTTTTATTTATTTAGAAAAAACCTTACCGCTTACTAAACTATAATAATGTGTATGTTGTGGTTTATTTGTGAGTGTGTGTAACTGAAGCCTGGGTGTTAAAATCGGCTTGATTTAGTGACATTAAAAGTGTCTAGATTTATTAATTGAATATGTCTAGTATTGAATAAAGTTGTTGTATAGTGCAGGTAACCGATTGTTAGCCATTATAATAATACATTTTTATTGTAAAATCTAGTGGGGACTCAATTTCCGCACTTACACGCTCATTTGGTCCGTTGTTCGTCCTGGCTAACTAAGCCAGCCTAGCTTCTTCTACAAGCTCGGAAGGTTCCTGGGCACCTCAGGATTTCTGTTCTTTGGGAAGCCACAGCTACGCATATCAGGACTACGTGGCTGACTGATTCCTCAGCGCTGAAACAGCCTCTGCAAAAGTGATTGTCTGTCGCGCCTAGGACACATAGATGTTTATTAAAGAGACAGTGGCTCGTATTTGTCCCTATTATTATTTAATTGTAGTTATCAAATGTAGGAAGAACTGAGAGCAATGTAATGATTCTATCCCCTGTCTAAGGAGTATTAAAGGTTATATAGCAGCAATTGAGGACAATCGAATTTATAATTGAGTATCTCGTATTATTTAGTATAAATATATATTATTGTAGTAGAAATAATAAATAATCCAGTGGCATTACAACCCTAGCCGCAGATTGCATACGTATCTTCGATATTTTTTTATTTTTTATAGTCAAGCAGCTGATCGGCTTTTGTATCTGACATATGTTGTTTTGTTGGTTTCCTCGCGATGTTTGCCTTTGCCGTAGGAAAAAGTGTTAATTGCTCACATAGAAAGAAAATTTGTAGTCATGATTCGAACGCTCGATTCGATTGGCTCAGTTACACGCTTAAGCCAGTAGGCCGACCCTCCTGCACTAATGTTATCGTGGAAATATTTATTTTAACTACTCAAAAACTACTTGGTAGATTAAAATTATTTACCACTTTCAGTACTTTACCAACTAAACAGTTAGTCGTGTGTCTATTGCTTTTACATTTTCCCAAATGAAACAAATGCGTTATAGAAGTAATGTAAAAGGCGAATAATAAAAATTAACTCGATAAAAGACATCTACGTCTAAGCTAAGCAATAGACATTTCAATTCACAAAATTCGCCAAAATTTTAGAACATTCAGTTTAATTACTTCTTTATAGCTTTGAAAAGCTCTCGAAACGTTGAATTAACTAGGAAAATATAAATAATGGGTTTAATTCGTGTGTATGTCCGGTAAAGAAATTGTATTTGCTTATATTCTTAGTAATTATAAAGCCCGTTAACTTCTAATCAATTGTCTACACTATACCATTTAGATTTATTATTTGTTTTCTTTCCAATCGTTGTCGTTACTTCATTGATCGGGGTGGGGGGGGGGGGGGGGGGCCCCGGCCAACCACCCCGGGGGGGGGGGGGGGGGGGGGGGGGGGCCCCGGGGGGGGGGGGGGGGGGGGGGGGGGGGGGGGGGGAAAAAAAAAAAAAACCAAACACCCCCCCCCCCCCCAACCGACCCCCCAAAAGAGGGGGGGGGGGGGGGGGGGGGGGGGGGGGGGGGGGGGGGGGGGGGGGGGGGGGGGGGGGGGGGGGGGGGGGGGGGGGGCAGAACCCCTTCTCGGGTAATTCCTTTCTTCAGCTTACGCCATTCGATTGATGCTTTTATCTTCTATACTTAAGATACCTTAATTTTGATATTCCAGGATCCGATGCAGAACCGGTCTGGAAGCTCCAGGACCCAGGCTTCGATCAAGGTTATGGATCTGAGCGTTCGCCTGAAGATGACTATGTTCCTCCAATACCACCAGCCATTTCACTAGAAGAGTATGAAGCGGAATTGCGTGCCATATATCCATTTATTACTGATGGTAAGTTTTTACTTAAGTCTCATTTTGTTGAAACTTTGTATATTAATATGTTGTGCGTATAAATTCAACGCATTTATTTTGATAACCGACGAGAGATGCTGTTTGCGCATTCCATGCAGTTAAATGCTACTGGGAAATGGACTTGATTTACACCAGGAATCATCTCTACTACTGAGGGAGCCGGGTAAGCAATACCCACTAAAACACTCCTCCCTACAGCGGGAGACTCTCAGAGTCGCTTTCGCATTCTACCAGGGCTTCCGCGGCCTATCAAACTCAAACTTAAACTCAAAATATCTTTATTCATGTAGGTAAACAAGTACACTTATGAATTGTCAGAAAGAAGTTAAATTGTAAATTTACATTTACTACCAGTTCGCAAGTCAAGGGCGTAGAGCGGGTAAGAAGAACAGGCAAGAAACTTTCCGCCACTCTTTTTAATCGCCAAGTATTGTCATACAAATTGTTTGAACTGGAGCAAATCAATCCCAAGGATTAGGATCATTTAAGTATTCCTCAAATTTATAAAAAGCTTTATTGATTGATTTCCGTTTAACGAGGGCTTTGAATTTATTTAGTGATAATACTCTAATTTCGCTAGGGAGTTTGTTGTAAAAACAATTTTCACATAAGGAGTGGTTTATCTTTTGGAGCCTGGTTGGTCGTACATTCAAATTAGTTCTATTTCGCGTATTATACTGGTGAATGTCACCATATCTTTGTGGCTCCCTCCAAAATGAGTTTTGGAGCTAAAAGGAGATGGGCATCCCTTCCACTACGTCGTCTTCCCCTTTCAGCTCGTATTGGAGTTGGAGGTCCTAGGTACGAAGAAATAAATTAAAAGAAGGTTCTTATCCACTGAATAATGTATAAACTTTCATCTACCGAAATGCAACAATCTCTGCAATATGGCAATATAGCGACCTCACCTATAAAATACTTAATTGGAAATTATACATTATAAATACAAGAAAAGACAAAGACATAAAAAAGGCAATATTTAAATTCCAGCCCTTTCTATAAGTGTATTCATAAAACACTTGGCATAAATACTTTAAGATCAATACAATTTGCCTTTCGTACCAACTTTGAGAAATTCAAAATCATAAAGATTTATTTGTTTTGCCGTAAAATGTTTAACGGGTGATTCAGCTGTTTTCCCCGAATTGCGGAATGTTACGAGATACTGTTATGACCTGACTGTTTAAGCTTTGACCCGACTTAGTTTTGTAAATGTTACTTAATCATTCAATCGTTCTTTTTATAAAGAAGTCCATATGGGTAATTTTGCTTTAGTTACAATATTGTTCTAAATATTATATTAGTAGGTCAGATTTAAAGTTATTCGTTCATAAAATTAAAAAGGGCACATGCAGTCCATTGCAATGACCCATGTAAGGGCCTTCCCGCTATTACCACCAGCATACTGGGCTCCCCTGCACGCGCTTTATCAGAGATATACCTAACTCGCTTGCGCATCGTAGCATAAAAACAGTCCACACCTGCACAACCAAACATTGCAATAGCGAGGGAGTCCTATCAACATCCTGAACGCATTATTGAACTGATCACAGGGCACTATATGATTTTCTGTATGAAAAAACCACAGCCTACAGGCATAAAATGTGTACAATATGCTCTACAAAGAGTGATTTTTACCTCTCGCGAACACCGTGCAAACCGCCGATTGACCATATTACCCACACCGCTCAATGTCAGCTTTCACAGTAGAAATAACGAAATTTTGTAGAAACTAATTTCATATTAAATCATTTGCAGTATTATCTTTTATATATTTATCCAAACTAAACTCTTACTAGGCCCTAGATTCGAATCTAATTGTTTGATTATTAGTAATCATAACAATCAAATATACAGTATTTACAATATTCTTAAACTACAGCTGGCTGGCATTTCTTTGCTGTATTGCGATACTTATTCGTTGAGCGAGGAAAAAAATGTTAGATTTTTTTTCCTTCATATTATTATTATTAGAGTTTTATTAATAAATTCATACAAAAATGACTTTGTTAACATTTCTCAATATGAGTATTAGTTGTGTTAGTATAAGTTTTAAAACTATAAGTGAGTTGTAGTTAGTGAGTTTTTAGTTTTAGCGGTCTAGTATTCTAAGCTTCGGGGTCATACAAGTCCCCGAAGCGTCCTCCAAATTCTTCTATTTCTCTGATTTTTCTCAATGCATTGTTCAGAACTTATTGTCTTGTCTTGATGATCTTACGTTTAAAGTTTAAATTTTAATTATTATGAATTAGTTTAAATTAGTCTGATTGGGAGTATTTTTAATTTTTATTATTGTCATATGTAATGGAGGGAGGATTTTTATGGCGTTACAAAGTACGGCTAGAAGTAGAAGTAGTTTCGAATATAACTTCATACATGCATATATTTTAATATTATCTGTGGCATAAAAGTCCTCAACGAATATAAAGGTTCCATTACAATAGGTCAAGATGTTAAGATGCCATTTAGGCCAGTCTCGTCTAGACTTTTTGAATGATGTATGAACATCTGCAGTCTCACTGCAACTTGCATAATTGGATGAGAAAATTCGTTCAGGTTCAACTGAAACCCTAGAAATTTTCTAAAGCGAAATATATCGCTAACGAACACATTGAACTGCAATCCGTTTATTTTTGCTATTGGAAATGATTTACGATTTTAGAAAATTCTCGAAGATAAAATAATAATTTAGGACTGAATCTTTTTAATTGTTTTCTACTATCGGTATTTTTCAATTAAATCTGTTATGTTCAGAAAATTCTAGAAACGAATTGGTATACTTTTTATTATTTGCGATTTTATGGTTGGATCCGCCTGCGACCTAAATATTCATTGTTGGATAAGCATCGTTAGTGGTGTTTTGTAGAGTGGTAGGAATATCATCAGGACGTTCTTATGAACGAACACTTATGTGTAGAAAAGGCCGGCAACGAACTTGCGAGCCTTCTGGCAATTTGAGTGTCCATGGGCGGCAGACACTTAACATCAGGTGAGCCTCCTGCCGTTTGCCCCGTTATATAGAAAAAACTTATACGAATTAACAATATTTTGAGATAAAATGTTGTTCATTGAAAATCAGAAATATTTTGAAAGTTGTTCTGAAAAAATATTGCGAATATTGTCCTGGAACGTAAGTAGTAAAAATCCTTACAAGACGTCGCTCATTCGCGCATTTCCCAGTTCATATGCCTTTTGACGTCCAGATGTCACTATGTAAGTAGGAAATAAGTTTCGCCGCTATTGAACTTCCTCAATATTTTTATAATTTATTTCGGGTTGTAGCGTATATGCATTATATAAGCGTTAATGGAGGTTAGGGGATGAAAGTAGAAACTTTCATTAGCACTTGTTCTAATCTTAATATATATATATATATATATATATATATATATATAAATTACGTGTCACGTTGTTTGTCCGCTATGGACTCCTAAACAACCGAACCGATATCAATCAAATTTGCACACCGTGTGTAGTTTGATCCAACTTAAAAGATAGGATAGCTTACATCTTAATTTATACCCGCAATATTATTTTATTGCAAAATATTTGTTTATTATTTGGTAGTCACAATTCTAACAGATGGCGCTGTGTTGAAAGTACCAACGTTTCACATTAGCTACAATTTATTGACATAACCACCAAAAAAGCATGGGGACCACCCCATGGCTGGTGTTCTCCTACCGTTTCCCTGGAATAGTTTGCTACTATGTAATATAACAAAAACCTTAGCCACAGCAACGCTTGGCCGGTCTGTTAGTAAAAATATAAATATAAGTAAGATGTTAATCGCCTAGCCCAACTTTTTTTTATATATATTTAACAAACATCTATTATTCAACTTTTACTTAATAATTGTGATAGAACAGAAATTGTTCGGCGAAAACTATTTAAATAGTGGTCCAAAAAGGGTATAAAATGAGTTTTAATTGTTCCGACGCTCTGGGACGGACAGAATTGGAACATTGTGTTTTATCACAACTATTATGCTTAATTTTATCGTAAATAAAGTTCGGCTTACAATTGTTATCTGTTATGAAGTCCATTAAATTTCGTGTTGGTTATTACCTACAGTTTTAATAGTTTAAATTAATCTTGGTAAAGGATCGTCAATGGTGATCACATTACTAAATGTCAGCGATGAGGAGATACCAGAATAAAATATTATATTAAAAACATACATATTATTATTGGTAATTGAATTATAGTAAATATTACTATGAAAAAAGTGAATATCAAATACATGGTACTGTATAGTTATATATACAAAGACTCTTTGAGATCCCACAGTCAACAACAACAGTGTTGTGGCCTTTGTTAAAGGCTTTAATATGGAAAATGTATGAATAAAAAATACATTAAAATAAAATGTAAGCGACTCATGAGTACAGGTTTTAACAAGAATAATATGACATTATGTATTTAGTTACAATTGTAAAAAAAAGGTTGTTTTAGTTATTTGCTAAGCTGCTTTGAAAGATAAAAGAATTCGTAATTAATACAATAGTTATAACTAATTTAGTATCAATTGGATAGAAATACGTCACTAAAGAGTTTTATATATTACCTATATAATAAAAAAAAATACTTGTTGGAACATACAGACTTAGGAGACGCAGGTACGTGCTTGGCGAATTTTAAGATAACATTTAATTAAGTTTTTAGTCAAATATTTATAATTTTATTAAAACAAAACAATATCATCTAATATTTGATGAACTATTAAAACAATTAATTATTGACTTAATAATTCCAATTTTATTATTACAAAACTTTAATATTATCGACTTAGAATGAATCAATAATATAGCAATAGGTATTGCTTTAAACACAATAGAACATAACCCGACATTGCGTAAATATACCATACTATGGTCTTCATGATCTGTTTGAATTCACAAAATCATGTTCTTCGATTTGTAAATCTCCTTCCAGTTTTTAAAGTCCGTTTAAAACAATTTTAACGACCACTTTCTGAA